ACTAGGGGATACCCTGAACCGTCTTCTTCCAACAGGCGATAAATATAAAATGAAAGATACCTGATATATATATATACTATTCTAGAAGCTACATGTCAAGTTTGGTGACTCTAGCTCATATTATTTGCCGAAATTGCTCAGAAAACAGGATTTCGATATCGATTTTTATCGATTATTTGGAAACGGGACAAGTTATCGACTATCGGAAACAAACTCGAGCTGCGCGGGGACTAGGAGGACCTACAGCTAAAAGTTCAGGACTCTAGCTCTTATAGGTTCTGAGATCCTTGCGTTCATACATACGGACAGACGGACGGACTGACGGACAGACGGACATGGCTTGATCGACTCGGCTATTGATGCTGATCAAGAATATATATAGTTTATGGGGTCGGAGATGCTTCCTTCTGCCTATTACATACATTTCCACAAATACATTACACCCTTTTTACCCATTTTTAATGGGTTCAGGGTATAACAAGGACGAGAAGAGCCACGGCTAGAGCAAGTACAATGGCGATGCCTAAAACAATGGCTCATATTTCAGCTTGCAGCAGCAGCATCAACAACAAGATGAACAAAAGTCAGCCAGCCTGGCCAGGTGGTTTATTTAGTTTATTTATGGTGCACTAATTGAGTCGGCAGTGGGCAAAAGTTTTAGCCAGAGCCTTGTTGCATGCCACACGCCACACGCCGCACGCCACACTCTGCCTCAAAATAAATAAAGCAAAACTCTCTGGCTTTTCCATTCAGCTGCTGACAATTCCTTGAACATATATAATACAAAACAAATAAAAACAAATACATCTGCCTGAATATTGTCATGAGATTGCGTCCAATGTTCCGCAAAAATTTCTCATGGACTCGTTTTTTTTTTTATACCCTAAACCCATTAAAAATGGGTAAACAGGGTATAATGTATTTGTGCAAATGTATGTAACAGGCAGACCCCATAAAGTATATACATTCTTGATCAGCATCAACAGCCGAGTCGATCTAGCCATGTCCGTCTGTCTGTCCGTCTGTCTGTCCGTCCGTCTGTCCGTATGTAAGAAAGAAAGGATCTCAGAACCTATCAGAGCTAGAGACTTGAAATTTTAGCTAGAGGTCCTGCTAGTCCCCGCGCAGAGCCCCGTTCCCAAGTAATCGATAAAAGTCGATATCGAAATCCGGTTTTTTGAGCAATTTTGGCAAATAATATGAGCTAGAGTTAGCAAACTTGACATCTAGCTTCTAGAATAGTATATATATATATATATCAGGTATCTTTCATTTTATATTTATCGCCTGTTGGAAGCAGACGGTTCAGGGTATTTCCTAGTCGGCAGCTCCCGACTAGAACCTCTTGTTGAATTTCTATAGGATAGATCGGTGGAATAGCAGAATCTTCTATGGAAAAATATTCCAATTTTTAATGTTATTTTCAACTAAAACTCAGCATATTCGTGCTTCACTTTTCACTTATCTTTTCCCTTGTCAACCAGAGTATTACTTGTTCTTTTTAAATGTTATTATTATTTTATTATAACGAAAAGTATTGAAATTAAAAATGACAGCAAGATTTGAAACGGCAACCTTACGCTTGCTGGTTCAACCTTAGCTGATTTTTCTACACAAAGACATCGACATCCGTTTGCTAGTGAAATTATTTAAGTTTTGATTCGCTCTTGAAATTGTTAAGGCCAAAGTAAAACCCCTGAAAGTATTTCACTTAAATTCACTTAATAAAAGGTTAAAATCGATTTATGTAACGAAGTTGGCCCAAATTCGGTGCGAAGAAAGCCAGAAAACATGAAAACAGTAATTGGCTGGCACAGTTAACGCCAAGGACAAATTGACAAGTCTCTAGAAAAGTGTTATCGATATATATTTGCCAGGTAAGACGCAAAAGCGTTGCACAACAAACAGCCTGCGTCAATGATACGTAATCAAGAGCCTTGGAAACTGTCAAATCCAAACGGAGCCCCAATCAGAATGTGCAAGCTAATTCATTGCGATACGCAATCTAAGTGCATCGAGCGTAAGGAAAGGCGCTGACAGATATATAATATACATATATATGTATATATATATACAGTGGCGGTCAAAAATAAAGTGAACAACCACATTTGGGTTGCAGAAGACAGGGCAAGATCGTTATAGCCTAATATGGCGAACTTAAATGTACCTGAACTTAAAGTGAAAGCGAGCAAAAGTTAGTTAGTCTGCGACCATTGAGTATCAAAACCGGCTTTGAAAAGTCGACCGTTAATTGGCAAATCATTGAAAAGGAAGATCACAAATCAAAACTAGTACAATTTGTCTATGCATTTGCGCGGAAAGAAGGGCATTTTTCCATGCTGACCACGCTTTTTTGACCGCCACTATTTATGGATATGCATATATATAATGCGTCTATAGATGCCAAATGCAGCTTGTCTAGAACAGTAGCTCTATCTGCGACAGCAGTCAAAAAGGTTCAATCACGGCGCGCAACGTTGCGTATACGTTATATTTGCCAATTGCAAGCTAAACTTATTATGCGCTTCTTCGCAAAGTGGAAACGAGTATATTGGTTTTGTGCAATATCCCCATTCAAAGAGTGTAGCATATATATATAACATATGTAAATGTATATGTCGGACAAATATGATCTCGCCCTCGCAAATTGCGATTATCCATGTTTTCCGCCCAGCTGACATTTAGTGGAAGTCTGCAGCTTAGCTCCGCTAACCACGCCCACTATTCCATTCAAATGTTAAACAAAAATCACGAAGCTCGAAGCTTAGTGTGCAAGCTCCGGCATAGTTTGCATAGATATTTCACAATTTGGATACGTCCTTCCATCGAGTCTTGGGACACATAACATATGAATGCCTATTCAAGTATGCGAAAGGTTGAAGAAGTGTGTGTGTGTGTGTGTGTGCGGGGGTGTGTGCGGGGGTGTCTGTGCATGTATAGAAGAAAGCTCAGAAAGCTCAGAAAGCTCAGGGCATCAACGCGTCGAGTCTACCCGTCCCGAGGGTTCTTTCTTGCTTACGCGGTTATTATTACGGTCGACTGCAACATGCGCCCTTGCTGCCGCTGCCGCTGCCGCTGCCGCTGCTGCTGCCGCTGCTGCTGCTGCTGCCGCTGCTGCTGCTGCGCATCAATCATGATTCGAGCGAGCAACTGCTGCAAGCAGCAACAGAAGATGCTTGGCAACTGCAACACACACACACGCACACACACGCACAGCTGTTGGCTGTAGTCTAGCAACCGCAGAGGCAAGCCCTGATATTTGAGCTTTGCTTTGAAAATGACTTGCAATCTGTTCCCTTTCTGTCAGCCACTTTGAAAGTGCATTCAGCTAATTTGGTTGGTTATTAAAAGAAGCGCAACAAAATAGATAACTCGACGACGGGCAACAAACTAAACAACTAAACAACTAAACAACTCGACGGCTGCAAAACATTCGAATGGCTTGCCAAAGGTAGCCGACAGTTCAGAGTTTATGATTTTCAAACTTTGCTGCAGCACTTTGCGCTGCGTATTGCATAGCTAAATAGCCCTGAACATATGCGCACAGCTACAAAAACTTCCAATTAGCCTCTAATTGGCCACAAAGCAATGTTCACAATAAGCGAGAGTGTGGGGGCTGCGCCCACCCCCCCCCCCCCCCCCCCCCCGCCTCCTCACTGTATATGCGAAAATTTAGCTGGTATTGCCCGGCCTTGCGCGTGGAACGTTTTGTGCCAAAAATTGTAGATATAACCTTTCCACTAAGTACACACCCGTGGATAATTGAAGTCTTTATCATCTTGATCGGCACTTCTATTTCAAAATATGTTTTTAGCTAAAGAATAAACTTTTGTTTGTAAATGATTTTGAAGCCGATAGGATGGTAAGCAAAAAACTTTCATGCAACCATTTTTCACCAATTTACCACTGTTGTGGGTGTAATTTCCCAAATCGCTGAAACACGTATTCATTAAGTTCTTTAAAGAGCTCTGAAAATAAAACAAAAACAAAAAATCGAAGAATCGCAATTTTTAACGAAAATATGAAACACATATCAAATGATTTTTCATTTCAAATCTTTGACATCCATTTCCACCAAGGAGGAATGGATTTTTCGAAAAGTGTGAAAGAACTTTGAAAATGAGTTTGAGGCCAATCGGATGGTAAACAAAGAAGTTTCATACAAACGTTATTTGCGATTTTTCCACACTTGCGGGTGGAATTTCGAGAAACCCCGTCTTAACGTGCACCTACATCACATAAGGTAGCTACAGTGAAAATTTGCAGCTTCCTAGCTCTAACGGTTTGGGCTGTGCGTTGATCACCAATCAGTCGGTCAGTTAGTCGGTCAGTCAGTCAGTCAGGACAAACAGTCAGTCAGTCAGTCAGTCAGTCAGTCAGTCAGTCAGTCAGTCAGTCAGTCAGTCAGTCAGTCAGTCAGTCAGTCAGTCAGTCGGTCAGTCAGTCAGTCAGTCAGTCAGTCAGTCAGTCAGTCAGTCAGTCGGTCAGTCAGTCAGTCAGTCAGTCAGTCAGTCAGTCAGTCAGTCAGTCAGTCAGTCAGTCAGTCAGTCAGTCAGTCAGTCAGTCAGTCAGTCAGTCAGTCAGTCAGTCAGTCAGTCAGTCAGTCAGTCAGCCACTTGTTTAGCGTAGGGTATACGAAAGTATATATATTTGAAGTCTTCAGCTTCTTTGGGGAACGGAAACGGGGCGTTCATTCAGACGGACAGATGGAGACACCGGCAGACAGGCTAGAAAAGGGGTCGGAGGTGCTTCATTCTGCTTGTAACATACATTTGCCCAAAACCAATATACCCTTTTCGCCTTTATTTATAAGAAACATAAAAGCTGTTGAACTTCTCGAAATGGAACCCAACTCTAATTGTGAAATATTAACGGAAACTTACATGATTCAACGCAATATTCAAATTTTAAACAAAATGCGTACAACACATGACACGAACTAATCATAATACTCCGGGCAAGAGTAAGGGTAGCAAAGGCAGCGCGCGCCAGACGCATGTCTATGACTGGTCCGCAGCACTGAAGGAGCGCAGCATCATAACATAGGAAATGGCCGAGCGAACCACCTGTAAAGGAGAGCAAAAAAATACGAGTTGAGTGGAGTTGGCAGCTGGCAGCTGGCAGCTGGCAGCTGGGAGCTGGGAGCTGGCTTGTCTTAACGTACCGCTGAAAAGGTTGCCATGTTGGGCTCAAAGAAATAGCCTTTTAGCTGGCAGGGCCGCTGGGCGCGCATGATGGCCACAATGAGCAGCCGCTTGGTGGCCGGCGCAAAGTCCACCCAGTTGCTATCGTAGAGGGCAATGGCAAAGTCGGCACTGGCCTGCTTCATATTCTCGCCGCAGTGCGAGTAGATGAACAGGGCGATAAGCAGGGAGCCCACAAAGAAAATAAAGTAGATGCATTCCGGGGAGGGGAAAAGGTCCGCCAACTGAAAGCCAACAAAGCACAGCTGCAGGGCCGTTACAAAGAACTGCATAAAGACCAAGGGCCGGAGGCTGTGCCCCAGCTGGGTGCCAATCAACAGACCCGTCTGATGTAGTTGCAACACCTGCACCACTGCCTGAAACTCCTGCCACGGTGCTAGGCTGCTGGGCAACAGATGTTTGATGCGATGCTGGGCAATCTTTAAGACGGCGCACACATTGTACGTAAAGGCAAAGAGCAGCGTATCCATGGCCAACGACATGGTCACAGCACCATAGCTGGCCACCAGGTTCCAGAGATAGGTGGGCGCATACGGCGCAGTTGCCTGATCGCTCCACGGATATACGCCCGAGTGGGGCAACTCCAATTGGGTAAGGCCTGTGCGCAGCCGGGTCGTTAACATGATGACAATCGGCTTAATGCCAGCAAAGATTAAGGCGCCAAAGAAGCAGCGCATATAGGTCAAGCTCAGGGATTGATCGCTGCGGTTCTCCGCCTCCACAATGGCCGCTGCCTCAGGCAAGGCTTTGATCTCTGCAGAAAACGTCGTTATTAGCAGGATTCAATTTGATTTAATAGCCCGTCACTTACCCCGCTCGAGAATATCGCGTATGCGATAAATGAGCTGAACGAACCGCTTGCGATAGTAGACAAAGACCGAATACTTGACCAAGGTTAGAATTATGGCCAATAGGGAGGCCATCGCATCGGACATGATGCTCACGTTGGTCAAGTTATGCAGAATCGCAAAGAAGAGTGGAGCCATAAAGACGCTCATCAGGCCAATTACCAATAGCGTTAGTTGTGGACGATCATGCGAGCTGCTGCTGTTCCACAAATCGTAGCCCATCAGTCGAAAGGCCAGGACCTGCACGCGCAGAAAATATGCTGCATCCATGGTTGCAGTTAATCCGTGCACGCGCCAGCTTGTCAATGCCTTTTATATGCACCCGGAGGCACACATGCATACATATGTGTGTGTGTGTGCGTGTGTGTGTGCGTGCAAGAAGAGCCAAGTGGGTGCGGCATATGACATGGTGACAGACGACCTTCATTGGGCTAGTACCCATAGAATTCTGCTTCTAATTTAATATGCGTATATTATTTGCCATTGTAGAGCTGAAGAGCCAAAAGCCGACGGGTATTCGCAGGTATTCGCGGCTGCTTAAATGACAACGCATGAGGGCTACGCTTTGTAATTAACACCGTACAATTTTCTATTCAGTTGCGCCCGTTCTCAGGCTGCACTCTATAATTTGAATGAGTCTGTTGCAGTGCTCGTGCGGATTCTAAGTACCTAATCCTAGTAATTAAATGAGATTTGCCAAAGCTGCAGTTGACATTTGACGAACAAGCAAATTCCAAAGCTATGCAATTAGTGCGGTGTTATAAGCGCAGAAAGTTTTGTTGCATTTTTAAATTTTTAAGCGCCAGCGATAGCTATTATCGATAGTTGATGGCACCCAGTGTTGCACCATGCAGCGTTGCCCACTCGTTGCATTAGGTGGCAACGTAAGCACAACACCTGCACGTACTGGCAACACGCGCACAGTTGTATAACCCTATTCGCAGAACTTTTTTTTTGGCAATTGAAACAGTTTCAACCCGTCGCAAAACAAACTGAAAGTGAGTAAAGCCAGCTGCAACTGCTACCTATTACTCAATTACTTATTATTAACATTCACCTTACGTTTGCAGTAATGGCTGGCGAAGAAGAGAAACTGACCGGCCTGGCCAAGCACTTCAATGGCTCAACCATGGCCGGCCGTGCCAATGTAAGTAGAGTTGAGCTCATCTCTTAGCCAATATTGTGCTCGAATTTGTAATCGCAATGTTATAACATATTGCAGGTGGCCAAGGCTACGTACGCAGTCGTGGGCCTGCTCATTGCCTACCAGATCATGAAGCCAAAGAAGAAGTAGATGGCATGCTCTGCCACCTGCTTGGGGCCACCACTTCGATGCGCTCGTCGTCCTCGATTGCAGCAATTTGGCTGCGGTTGCAGGGCACAAGCCATGTATATTTATGTGTAGTGCAAGATCTTAAAGGAATAAACAATTTAAATATCTAACACACGGAAAGCATAACGAATTTCATTATGTAATACTTACAGACTGTTGGAATGTATGCAACAGTCGCTTGTAGTCGGATGCATTGCAATGGTCGCTGTTCTAACAATATTATAAAACAATTGCCCTTGGAATGCTGATGGTATTAGCCGGGCCCATTATGCACGCCATGTGGCGGCGGCTCATGAGTTACATGTATCCTTGGCTGTGCGACAGCAAACACCGAGCATGCTATCTCGCTCACATTTGTAGTGGCCAAAAAGTCTCGCTCTAAATCGTTGCCAGATCTTTGCGAAGTTTTGCATAAGAAGGAATTGTTGAATGGTTTTTGCTGTTATTTTGTTTTAAATATTTTATTTATTTAAAGTTTTTATTTCATTTTATCGAACTTGCTTTAAATG